AAATATATTTTTCATAAGTTTGTTGAACTAGTTTTCAAGTTTTCGCCATATTTCTGTAGGCGAAAGCTTTTTAAAGGAAACTTTATTAACTGTTATACAACCTTCGTCCTTCGAGTGGCGCCATCTATGCAGCTATTCTAGGAAACAAAACCTCAAAGTTTGGGTACAAATGCAAACAGCGAACTCTAGCGGACTAAATATGAGTTTCAAGCAAAAGCCTTAAGGCGCAAAAGCTTTCAAAATGGCAACAGGTTCAAAAGCTCTCCTGCACACGCACTCACACACACACACACACACATCCTTATAAAAATTGCATTTATTGCAATAAATAATAGTTTTTCAACTAAATAATAAACGAACCCATATATCCTCATTGATCTGAGTCCATTCATCGTTCAATTCCACATTCAACTGACAGCAGCGATAGAAAATGCTCCAGTTTCCCGTTATGGAAACGCCGCAAATGCCGGAAAACTGAGATCCCGTTGCAATAGGCCAATTTTCCTCAATATCTATATTCCATATCCATTCCATATTGCTTTGCACTAATTATTAACCACACAATTGACAAATTTCACAAATAATCACTAAAAAGCAACAAATAACTACAACTTCCAAGCCGGGAACAAAAAACCGAACCGATCGCGCCGACAATTTTTTTCGTTTGCGAATTGGCAAAAGATGGCGAAAGAGGAAATCCCAAAAATGGAGAGACGCGGCAGAGAAAGGAGCAGAGGATCCAGGACAGAGCGACACCGACGCAGTGAGTAATCATCAGTGATGGCTAATAAAAAGCTAGATTACGGAATCTTAATTTGTCCTACAAATATTCCTTATTTATTAAAATTGGAATTTGTATAAAATAAATAACTATATAGACAATTTAGTTAATTATTTTTGGCTCAACAGAACTTTATCTTTATTATTTATAAGCTCTATTAAATACTATATACGCATAAAATAGAGGATTTTTAACTATATTAACAGCTTTATTATAAGGCACAATCACAACAAACTATTTTACCTCTTTGCCTCATAATTTAATCATTAACTAATTTCTGAAATAAGCTAATATGGCTTTTAGCTAAAACAAGGTAGCCAACGTGACAACACAAAGACGCCGCCAAAGCAGAAGGAGCGCCAAGATGTCTGCTCGAAACTCTGGCCATTCAGAGGCGGCTACTGGGGGGTCAGCCGCGAGCGATCGCACCCCCTGCCCACCGATAAAAAAGTGTATACTCTCTATACGCCCCTGTGCTTATTCTCAAAGTGTGAGCGCGGTTTCACTGTTCTAACGGGGCTTTGGGAGAGTGGAAATACTGGCCAAAGGAAAATAGGAAAGATCCCGCGCATTCCTTCGTATGCATTCTGAAAGTACAAGGGAGAGAGCACTATTCTAACTTAGCTCTGAGAGAGCCGAAACAACGCGTAAAAGCAAATTGGGCTTATTTCGCGCGGTTTTCTCGAAGTGAAAGCATTAAAATCAGTGCGTCGTCGGGTTAAAATACAAAATAGAGCATTAATTTAATAGAAAATAACATTATTAGAGCATTATCGGTTGGCTGAAGGCTTTAGGCAGTGTTTGTAGTTGTGCTTTATCGAATTAAAGGCCAATTTAAGCGAAAAAGAGCTTTCTTAAGCCCGTGCAGGCAGTGGAGTTTTTTATATAAAATTGTATGCAGGTATTTAATAAAACTAATTACAACTCATCCACAGTGGAGTATAATTATAATAAATAATATTTGCCAGGCTCAGGTGTCTAATTTTATGACACTTAAACGGATTGCTAATACTCAAATAAGTATGTGTGTATGTATGCGTTTTTTTTTTTATTACGAAGCCGCCGACACAGTAGCGCCAAGATGTCTGCTCGGAACTGTGGCCATTCAGTGGCGGCTGCAGGGGGGTCAGGCGGGAGCGATCGCACCCCCTGCCCACCGATAAAAAAGTGAATATAAATTTGTCCGTGTTTTAACAACAATACCATTTTGCATTTCACATTTTATAATTCACTCCTACCGATCCCCCTCAATAAGAACCCTGATTATGTACTCTCTATACGCCCCTGTGGTTATTCTCAAAGTGTGAGCGCGGTTTCACTGTTCTAACGGGGCTTTGGGAGAGTGGAAATACTGGCCAAAGGAAAATAGGAAAGATCCCGCGCATTCCTTCGTATGCATTCTGAAAGTACGAGGGAGAGAGCACTATTCTAACTTAGCTCTGAGAGAGCCCAAACAACGGGTAAAGCAAATTGGGCTTATTTCGCGCGGTTTTCTCGAAGTGAAAGCATTAAAATCAGTGCGTCGTCGGTTTAAAATACAAAATAGAGCATTAATTTAATAGAAAATAACATTATTAGAGCATTATCGGTTGGCTGAAGGCTTTAGGCAGTGTTTGTAGTTGTGCTTTATCGAATTAAAGGCCAATTTAAGCGAAAAAAAGAGCTTTCTTAAGCCCGAGCAGGAAGTGGAGTTTTTTATATAAAATTGTATGCAGGTATTTAATAAAACTAATTACAACTCATCTACAGTGGAGTATAATTATAATAAATAATATTTGCCAGGCTCAGGTGTCTAATTTTATGGCACTTAAACGGATTGCTAATACTCAAATAAGTATGTGTGTATGTATGCGTTTTTTTTTTATTACGAAGCCGCCGACGCAGTAGCGCCAAGATGTCTGCTCGGAACTGTGGCCATTCAGAGGCGGCTGCAGGGGGGTCAGGCGGGAGCGATCGCACCCCCTGCCCACCGATAAAAAGTGAATATAAATTTGTCCGTGTTTTAACAAGAATACCATTTTGTATTTCGAATTTTATAATTCACTCTTACTGATCCCCTTGAATAAGAACCCTGTTTATGTACTCTCTATACGCCCCTGTGCTTAGTCTCAAAGTGTGAGCGCGGTTTCACTGTTCTAACGGGGCTTTGAGAGAGTGGAAATACTGGCCAAAGGAAAATAGGAAAGATCCCGCGCATTCCTTCGTATGCATTCTGAAAGTACGAGAGAGAGAGCACTATTCTAACTTAGCTCTGAGAGAGCCGAAACAACGGCCAAAGGCAAATTAGGCTCAATTCGCGCCGTTTTCTCGAAGTGAAAGCATTAAAATCAGTGCGTTGTCGGGTTAAAATACAAAATAGAGCATTAATTTAATAGAAAATAACATTATTTGGGCATTATCGGTAGGCTGAAGGCTTTAGGCAGTGTTTGTAGTTGTGCTTTATCGAATTAAAGGCCAATTTAAGCGAAAAAAGAGCTTTCTTAAGCCCGAGCAAGAAGTGGAGTTTTTTATATAAAATTGTATGCAGGTATTTAATAAAACTAATTACAACTCATCCACAGTGCAGTATAATTATAATAAATAATATTTGCCAGGCTCAGGTGTCTAATTTTATGGCACTTAAACGGTTTGCTAATACTCAAATAAGTATGTGTGTATGTATGCGTTTTTTTTTATTACGAAGCCGCCGACGCAGTAGCGCCAAGATGTCTGCTCGGAACTGTGGCCAGTCAGTGGCGGCTGCAGGGGGGTCAGGCGGAAGCGATCGCACCCCCTGCCCACCGATAAAATAGTGAATATAAATTTGTCCGTGTTTTAACAATAATACCATTTTGCATTTCGAATTTTATAATTCACTCTTACCGATCCCCCTCAATAAGAACCCTGTCTATGTTCTCTCTATACCCCCTGTGGTTATTCTCAAAGTGTGAGCGCGGTTTCACAATTCTAACGGGGCTTTGAGAGAGTGGAAATACTGGCCAAAGGAAAATAGAATAGATCCCGCGCATTCTTTCGTATGCATTCTGAAAGTAAGAGGGAGAGAGCACTATACTAACTTAGCTCTGAGAGAGCCGAATCAACGGGTAAAAGCAAATTAGGCACAATAAGTGCGTGTTTCTCGAAGTGAAAACATTAAAATCAGTGCGTCGTCCGGTTTAAATCAAAAATAGTGCATTAATTAAATATAAAATAACAATATTAATTTTTTATCGCTTGACTGAAGGCTTTAGGCAGTGTTTTTAGTTGTGCTGTATCGAATTGAAGGTAAATTTAAACGATAAAAAGTGTTTTCCTTAGATTGAGCTGCAAGTGGACCTTTTTATATGAAATTGTATGCAGATTACAGTAATTTAATATAAATAATTAGAGGTGATACACACGTGTGCATTATAATAGCAAGGAAATAAAGTCTGCCTGGCTCAGGTGTGTATATGTGTGTGCAAAATTATGTATGTATACATGTGTGCTTTGGCAGAGGGAGAGAGAGAGAAGAAAATAATGCCAAGAGAAAATGAGAGTTAGTTTGCGCGGTTTTTTTTGTCTTTTTTTGGAGTGAAAACATAAATCGGTGTTTGTCGTCAGGCTAAATACAATATAATTAATTAATTCAATAAGAATTAGCAATCGTAATGGACTTATTTGGCTGCAGGCTAATTACGAGCAATTAATGTTTGCCAATTTAAGGTGTCTAAATGTAGGGAATTAAATCGGAATTGATAATTTATAAATATGTATGTAAATACATATGTGTGTATGTATGAACGAGTGCACGTGTGGATCTTAAGTGGATGGTGGATGTTGTGGATTCTCTTGCGGGTGGTAAATTGAAAGGGAAGAGAAAAAGAGATGGCAGATCTGCCTTTTGAAGTACGAGTAGTAAGAGTGAAAGGGAAAGAAAACTGATATTGCCAAACGTTAAAATAATGCCAAAAATTAACTACAACTAATTATAAATAATAAAGAAACGTAAATTAAATGTAATTGAAAAACATGAATATATTGTAATGAAATAGTGAATATCTGCAAGTTTGCAGAGGGCTGCAGTATTATAATTTGCTAGGTAAGTTTGCATGTTTTAATATTTACATATTTATATTTTAAAATAATATTTTAAATATATTTTACCATTATTATTTTACTATTATTTATGCATCGCTTATAACAATATATTTGAAAGTATATATGTAAATATTTTTTTATATTAAGTTTTTATTTTTACCTGTTGCCTCTGATGGAATTCCACTGGCGAAACATTTCCATTAACTTCAACTGCCGACGCAGACATTTGTTCTTCTGTTATTTCTTCAATTTTTGCAGTGTATTTTTTTGACAAGATATATATTTTAGTTGTTGTTTTGTTTTATAGCTATATCACGTTGCATGCAATACACAATTGACACTTTATTGTATTATTTGGCGACTTGACATTTGTCCGATTCTTTTTAGAGGCTTTTCGCCTATTTTTGGCTCCTAATTGAATTCGCGTCTTGTTGTTTTTTTGTTCTTTCTTTTGGTTCTTGTTCTTGTTTTTGTTTAGGTCAGTGGAACGTGACGTGATTTCCTAACAGTAAAATCCCAAGTGGGCGGGGGAGATAAGAGGCTGTGGTTTGACCTCTGGACTCTAGCAGTTTATTAGGGGATTTTGATTCGACTTCATTTCTTTATGTTTGTTTACCTGCAATTGAGAAGGAGGAAAAATTAGATGAGTATTTTATGTTGGGGCTTAGGTTTAGAGCTCTACTTAGGGGTTTCTTTACTATTTAAGTTTATTTTGGGGAAGTTTTGGGAGTGTTCTTTATCGGAATTTATATAGAAATAGGTTTCGGTTTAAATTCAGATACGTGTTCAGTCCATAATCAAAACGTTCATCTTAATACCCTTTCAGTATGATCTTTTTATTCAGAAGCTTGAAAAGCAGTGAAGGAGTAATTTCCGAGTTGATCTTGCCATCTCAGGCAGATTTTTTTTTTTTTTTTCAACATTTTATTATCATTAAAATTATTTAAAAAATTCGTTAAATTTTAAATTTTATTTTTAGGAAAATTGTCATGAAAAAGTATCGATTTAAAGAAAGTGAATATTTTAAGATTATTTATACGATTCGATCCTATAATTTAATTGCAAACTGCAATGGTATATAAACTTCGGCTTATTGAAGTTAATAAATTTTAGTTATTGATTTTAAAGTAATTAAATAAATCCCAAATTTGGTGTACTTATTTCAACCTCATGTAAAAACTAAAATCTAATAAAGGCTAATGTTTTTTTAACGAGAAATACACATACTGAATTAACAGTGTATTTTTAGAGGACACCATGCTGATATATTTTCGTCTAAATTGGCAGGAATTGGCATGTGAGTGAATTTCGATTGATTGCGAGACATTTTTAGATTTTTCACGTTGACAGATGAGATGAAAACGAGAGGGTGGGCTAGAAGGTGGGAGGCTGTGGGGTTTTAGGACACAGGAATATAGCTAACAAGGTCCTTGAAGGGTAGAAATGTGCAGGCCAGATTGGTTTATTCAATGGAACGTTTTTTAAATTGAAATTTCTACTCTTTCTCCCTTTTTTCCCTCTGTAATAGTAGTTGCATGTAAAGTTATGTAAGACTAATTTATTTCATGTTTCTATCGTTTCAACCGCAAGTCACAAAAAGTAAACCATTTATTTTTCCCCGTCCTGGCTAATTTCTTTCATTTTCGTATAATTTTTTTCAATTTATTTTCCACTTCCTTTTTAAATACTAGAGTTTTCGGTCCTCTCTCGCGTCCACATTCCCATTTAAATAAATAACACCAACATAAAAATTCATTTGCCAAGGATAACAGAAAAGAATTGCCAGAAAAAATTACTAATTTGTTAAATAAGAGAGAGAGAGAGAGAGAGAGAGACTGTGGCAAAAAAGAAAGGGGATACAATTTCTGAGAGCTGAAAAAAAATTAAGTGACGCAGGTCCCTTTTTTTACGTTCTCTTTTTATATCCTGCAAAAGGGTATCATAATTGTTGACAAAACAACAATTGTTTAACTATTTTTGGAAATAATTACTATTTAGATTTTAAAATATCTTTGAAAGAGATAATTAATTATACAGAAATCCCTCGGAATTCATAATTTTTTAGGACTTTATTTCTTCTCCGATTCAAAACACAATCCTGCCTATTTCATATTTATCATGCTCTTCGAAAAAGTGTATTTCGAGCCATCTGTGAATTTCCACTGATGGAAAGGATAGGAGATTTTTTAACTAAGCGCCTCCAAACTGCTGCTGACACATTTGGCACATGCCACCAACGGCATGGTGCTGTAAAAGTCGGGTGGCACTACGTCCTTTCACCTCACATCCTTTTACCTCCATGCGCCCCAGCTCTTACCCCCGGCGAACATGCTACATTGCTAATGTGTCCCATTTGCAATGGCGAACCACTGAAGCTTAACACGTTGTCTACGCAGACAAGCCGCCCGCCAGCCACGCCCACAAACACAGAGCAGAGAAAGGAGGCGAAGAAGAAGAAGAAGTAGCGGGCAAACTTTTGCCGCCTGCAATGTATGCTATAGTTTTTGCTTATCAATGTGTGCACAGTACGGTGAATATTCGAAATGAGGGAACTACCAAGAAGACAACTTTAAGAGGTCTTTGTAAAATTTAAAGAAAGAAAAGATCATTTTTCGGCTCAAATATGAGGTTCTAATTGGGGATAACATTTTATTAAAAGCTCACAGGAGACCACTTTCACGAGATGAAGGAAGAAGACAACTTTAAGAGATGCTTGTAAAATTTAAAGAAAGCATTTTTTAATAGTGAAATGAATTTAAAATAATAGAATTACTAAATAGATCCTTTTTTCCAATAGAAGTAAAAATTTTATTAAAATCTCACAGAAGACCCGAAAACCCAATTAAAATAGGAAAATCAATTGATTCTCAAAGTGGAACTTGAAGAATGTAAGAATATAAGTCTTTTATAAAGAGGAAAACACCTTTAAAGTATCTCAAAGCAAACCCTAGATTCTCTATATCGAGTTACCACTGCCTGCATCTGTTGGCACACATTCTGTGCTGCACCAATCGTTGTGTGGGAGTGTGTAAAGCCATTCAAAAGTTGCATCTGACTCGGAACCCTGGGGAAAAATGAATGGAGCTGAAAGGAGAAGGAGTACTGTGTTTGAGGGGTGGGAGAAGGGGTGTGTGCGTGTGTGTGGGGATGTGTGTGGCAATGCAATCCCAGCGGTAATTGTCTCGTTACTCGCTGCTTGTTGGTAAACATTCCGCATACACGAACACACATAATCACGAACCCACCGGGTTTCACTGTACCCCCGGACGAGAAGCGGAAGTAGGCGCACAAGCACACAACCCCTCCCACCCCTTTTATCTTTCCACTTTTGAGCGCCACCAGCACCATTTGGCTAATAATTTATTTACAGTTAACATTTTATAAGCCCAGGACATCCGTAAACACACACACACACACACACAGCCCGCCCGGAGGACTGCCATTTGATTTCACAAATATTTGCAGTCAGCTTTTGCACTTTCCATTTTTTATTTCTTTAGGGTTTACTTGAAGGTATTTGAAGGTTTGTTGGGGGTGAAATGGTTTAAGAAAGTTTATTTTAGGGATTTCAAAATTGGGTTTAAATATAAAGGGATATTTAAAGAGAAATCGGGTTTATTAGATAAGTTTATTACATTTTTATACATACAAAAACTTAGTTTACAAATATATCTTTGATTAATGTGGCCAAGAAAACCTGTAATATTCCTAGCCTTTCTCTATAATTGATTTTAAAATATTTAAAGAGCATTTCCACTTCTATTAAGCGATATTCCCAAGCCTATCTCACTTCCTTGGAGCCTCCTCCTTGCACCCAATATCCTTTCGATGGCCAACTTCTGACAACTCTCTGTAGCACCATTTGCCATTTCAGCGCGCTGATGGTAAGTGAAATATGCACAATTTCCGTTTGCCATTTCAAGGCGCGGGTAGGAGGGGAGGAGACACCGGCAGACTTCGAGAAGGATATGAGGTAGCAATGTTGTTAGCAAATGTAAAATACAGTTAACACAGTGTGTGTCTGTACCGTGTGTACGTGTGCACACATAAATGAATGAAAAGGCCATTCGGTTAACAGGATGTCAAAAGGAGAAAAAAGAAATTCAAGCAGGGCGCCATCCAAGGATCGAGGAAGGCAGTGAAACAGTAAAAGTTGCCATCAGTTGCTTTCAATAGCCATTAAGGTGGCTTTTCCCACCCTCTTTTCCAGTATTTTCCAAACCTCTGAATGGAAATGCACTTCTAATGGCCATTCGAAGCGGACAAAGTTATATTCACTGCATTTGTTATATATACCAGGAGACTTACTAGCTGGCTTTTCTTTTATTTCCCTGTTCAACAAGCTCAGCAGCACGAGTTTTCCACACATGCACCTCTGAGTGTGCAGTGTGTGTTTGGGAAAGTGAATGTGATTTGCATGGGTTTAACAAATTGAAGTTGTTGCGGAATGGTGAACAACAGTCATGGCTTTCAACGAGTTCAAACAGAAATTGTTGGTCAGGGAATACGGAAGTGGTTTTTCCCATGCATTTATTGCTGTTTTAACACGGGATTATTGGCTTAAATACAAGTTTAAACTGTAGAGGATTTTATTATTTTGGGGTTGGTTTTATGTTTAATAATAATAAATACAATAAGCTTGGTTATTTGACAATTGACACAGTTTGTTGTATGAATTTAAAGCCTCGACATGAAGTTTGTTTAATAAATTGATAATCTGACAGGGCTGTCAAATAGAAAGACTTAATTTATGGATAAAATACTCAAAGCAAGATTATTTAAAGATAATTATATTAAAGCCATCTTCAATTTCAATTTAAAACTTGGGAAAACTAAAACTTTAACCCAAGCATTTTCTAAATAATTATTTTGATAAAAATCTCTAAAAGTGTGATAGGGAAAAACCCCAAAAGTTTTCTTTTTGTTGTGGCTTTGGTTTCCCTTTAGCTATGTCGCTCTTATTACCATTTTTGTTGTGGCCTCTAGCACCGTGAACTTTATTGGTCGAATCCTTAAATGGGCCAGAATTTCATTGAGATTGCTGGAAAATGTAATGTGGAAACTTTGAAGGATTTCATTCGCCTTCGCCGGTGGCAAAAGTTGCAAGTAAATTTTTACTTTTATGATGAACTTTTGACTGGCTGCCTCGTCTGGTTTGTTGGTTTGTTTCGCGCTGCGTTTTTCTTTGGTTGAAGAAAAACTTTTGTGCTGCTGCTGCTTCTGCTGTTCGCCGGTTGTTGTTTGCATTGTGTGCTGCTGTTTTTTGTTTTGTTTGTTTTCAGCACAGTGAGTGTACCCCGTTTTGCTTTTCGCTGTTTGCTCTGCCGGGAAACTCTCGAGCGAATAACCCAAGGCAACGCATTGAGCAGCAACAAAACGTTTCGCTGTCACGCGTAAAATATATATTCGCCATAAATTTCACCCGCTCATTGCATGCAACGTGACTTTAAGGAGCAGAGGAGCAGAGAGTCTGCAAAGCTTACGTTTCTAGTGCGTTTTTTGCACAGGATTCGCTTGGAAAATTAAAAGGATTCTCTTGCACGCGGGTGGGGTTTTCTTTTACTTTGTAGTTGAAATTGATTTTAATATAATTTAAGCACTAATTTGAGAAGAAAA